ATATATGAGTATTGGAATAGGTGACCAAGTAGAATATATCCCAATATCTTGTAAACAATGAATAGAAGACCCTAATATAGTATATCTAATTAACTTTAAAAATCTATATTCTAATCAGGAACTAGAGTTGGAATTAAAAAATGATGAACCTACGGAGCCAATTTATACTACTATTCAAGTTGGAAATATCTTTTCTCAACTTGATAAACAACTTATAGCAAATGTTAAAATAGAAAATGTTAACAATCCTTTAAATCCTCCTCCTCCAGATATATTTAAACTAATCCAACCAGAGATAAATGAAATAAAAGACAAAAGAAAAGAAGCCCAGAAAGTTTCTATATATATTATTGAGGATAAATCAACCTTTATTGAATATACATTAAATAATAGTCAACAACAAATTATAATACAACTACTTCGTAAAAATGCAGATATCTTTGCTACTACTTTTGCAGAATTAAGTAAAACCAATATTGTATACCATACTATCAATACAGATGATTCCTATTCTATTAAACAAAGAGCTTACCGAGTCTCACCAATGGAACAAGAGTGTATTGAAAAAGAAATTTTACAAATGGAAGAGGATGGTATTATTCGAAAATCTGAAAGCCCTTGGAGCTCTCCAGTTGTTCTTGTTAAAAAGAAAAATAACAAGTTAAGATTTTAGGTAGATTTTAGAAAACTAAACAATATAACAAAAAAAGATATTTACCCATTACCAAGGATTGATGAAATGCTTGATAATCTTGGTAATGCTCAATAGTTTACATTTTTAGATTTAACTTTTGGATATTGGCAAGTAGAAGTTAAAGAGAAAGATAAGGAAAAAACTGCTTTTGTTACCAAATATGGCTTATATGAATTCAATGTAATGTCTTTTGGATTATGTAATATTCCTTCTACCTTTCAAAGACTTATAGATATAGTACTAAGACCTGTTCTTTGGAAAAAGGCTATGGTTTACATTGATAATATAAATATATATTCAGATTCATTTAAACAACATATATTAGATATTCAGAAAGTATTTAGCTTAATAATACAAGCCAAACTTCATATTAATTTACAAAAATGCCATTTTTGTACTAATGAAATGCAGTTTCTTGGGCATATAATTGGAATTAAAGGAATTAGACCAGATTCTCAAAAGGTTGATAAACTAAATGATCTTTCTCTTCCCAAAAACCTTACTCAGCTTAGAGCTTTCTTAGGGTTAGTATCTTATTATAGACGTTTTATTGAAGGATTTTCTAAGAGAGCTGGATCTTTGTTAAAATTATTAAAAAGAGATGAATCTTTTATTTGGAGAAAGCCCCAAGATGAGATTTTTAGTTGGTTAAAACTCCTATATTACAATATCCTGATTACTCTAAACCTTTTATTCTTTTTACTGATGCTTTTTATCAAGGACTAGATGCAGTTCTCTCTCAAATCAAAGATAGTAAAGAGCATGCAATTGCTTATGCTAGCTGAATCTTAACTTCTGCTAAAACAAATTATAGCACTGTTGAATTAGAATGTTTAGCAGTTGTTTGGGCTATCAAATATTTTAGATATTATATCTATAGAATGAGATTTACTTTAATAACAGATCACAAGGCACTACAATGGTTATTAAACTTTTATACAATTAATGACAATAAATGGATAACCTGATGGAGAATGACTCTCCAAGAATACTAGTTTGATATTAAATATTGAGCTAGTAGCCAGAACAAAAATGCTGATTTTTTATCTCGCCTACCAAAATACCTAAAAGATAATAGATAGCAAACTATATAATCAGCTATATCAATACCTTTTCTCTTTACAATTTGACTTGGATATCTCTAATACAGATAAATCCTGAATCCAAAAAGAAGCAAAATATTACTTTATAGAAAATAACAAGCTATATAAAAGAAATAAGGACAAGTCCCAACAAGTAATCAAACCAGACCAAAAACATCTTATCTTGTATACTCTACATGATAAACAAGAAGTACACTTAGGCATCTCATCTACTTTTAATAAAATAAAAGAAAGATATTATTGGCCTACTATGTACAATAATATCAAAAATTATATTCAAACATGTGATATTTGCCAACGAAGAGGACATGAAGTTAGACGGCAAGATCTATATCCTTTGGAAGTAAAATATCCTTTTCATAGAGTTAGAATTAATATTAAAGGACCTCTACCTCTAACTAAACAAGGTAATAAATATATTATTGTAGCTATGGATTATTTAACTAAATGGCCTGAAACAAGAGCTATAGCCGACATAAAAGCTATAACTATTGCTAAATTTATATATGAAGATATTATTTGTTGACATAAAACACCTACAATATTGCTATCTGACTGAGGAACCAATTTTCTAAGTGATATTGTAAAGGAATTGTGTAATAACTTTCAAATAAAACATCATAAATCATCTGCTTACCATCCACAAACAAATGGAATGATTGAACGATTTAACCATACTATGGGAGAAGCTCTTGCAAAAATAACAAGCTATAAATACAAGAAGTGTGATGAAATTCTTCCTTCTGTATTATTAGCTTACCGTACTATGAAACATGGTACAACAAAATTTACATATTTTTCCCTTATATATGGACATGATGCAAAATTACCTATAGAAACAATTGTAGAAACCTATTATAAGAAAGATGAATCATTTCAAGAAGCTCTCTTAAAAAGATCTTTTGAAATAGAGAATGTTTTATTAAAACAGCAAGATGAAGCCTTAGAAAATATACAAGAAGTACAAAAATCACAAAAAGAATATCATGACAAAAACATTAAAATTGATAAATTAAAAATAAATGATAAGGTTTTAGTGGTGAAATCTTTTCTTAAAAATATTTTTTCTGCTAAATTAGAGAAAAAATTTATGGGCCCTTGTATTATTCATAATATATTAGAATTTGGTGTTTATAAACTAAAAACTTTTGATAGCAAAAAAGTTAAAGATCCAGTTTATGATGACCATTTAAAGCTTTATCATGATAGAGAAATTAAAGATCTACTGGTTTCTCAAGTTATTATAGCACAAGGCAATAATATATAAAAATAGAATATATAACTTTTATTTATTATTTATTTAATTTTATTATTTAAAACAATTTTTTTAAAAAAAAAAAAATAATAAATTTTTTTATAACTTTTACTTATTTATTATTTTAATTTTTTTTTTTTACTTTATTATTTATTAATTAAAACATTTTATTCAATAATTTTATTAAATTTAAGAGTTTAAAAATTTATTAAAAATAGTAAATAAAATTGAGGAAATAATGAAAGAAAGTGCAAATACCTCCTTTCAATTAAAACCCGACTATTTTCTAACTCCTCAATTCTACTCCGCAATCTCCAATTCTCTATCTGCAATATATAATTCTCTGATACTGTATTTGAGACATAGACTAACAAACTATTCTGTTCTTGCCACAATATCCCAACCCGAACATTGAAGTCATGCTTTCATTGGGCAAGCTCATCTGGATCAAATTCTTGTAGTTGGGCTTGCAAATTAGCTACTTGGTTGGTTAGGCGCCGAATAGTAGCCGAAACAGATTGGGTGCGAGAGGTACAAGGCATCTAAATAAACTGACAACAAAGACCATTAGAAAAAGAATATTTTTTCCAAGATAGATATACTAAAAATTATTCAAGACTATGTGTTCAATCATAGTAAGTATGAAGGTACTAGCTCACTCGAATATGAAAAACCAGCAGGTATTTTAAAAGTATAAACTAATAAGGTTAGCTCACAGTACAAAAGTATACAAACCTTCAACAAAAAGAAAACAACAAAAGACCAAACAAAAAAGTTGTTGAGAAAGAAAACTATAGAAAAGAGGAAAAAGAGTTTTAGATAAAAAGAGTTTTAACAAAACAAAAGAAAATAATAGAGAGATTATTACAAAAAAAAAAAAACTTTGCATATTTGAAGCTTGAAAATCAAAATCTATAAGAAAAACAAGGATATAAATAAAATTAGGTTATGAATAATTTTTTCCCACAAGGAAATTATTATCTGCAGAGTACAAACAAAAAAAATTACAGACAATACGAGTGTGATTACTAAATTGAGGAATGGATAAACAAGGCAAAAAACTAAAAGCTAATTTTAGTACAAAGTTAATAATATTGTCCGGAAACGTTGTATTTTAAGAGAGAGAAAAGCAGAAAACTTTGAAAAAAAAAAAAAAAAAACACATGGTTGTTAAAAAATTTTTCCTAACAAGTATTGCTAAATAATACAAAATAGAATTTTTATATATGGTGTTCTAGAAAATAAACTATGTGGTAGATAAAAGGAAACATACATGGAAAGAGTAGTAGTAAAACTAATAATATATATCCAGATACAGAAAATTTTTTTTTATATATTTTGGGTAATATAGTATATAGTTCTACAAGATTATGTATTCAAATCTTACCAGAAAATTATACTTGAGTATACTAAAATAATAGTAGCAATCGCAACATATTATATTTTTATTATATTTATTTATTTGTTTTTTTTTATTATTATTATTTTTTTATTTATTATTATTTAGCTAAATCGCTAAAAAACCCTTATAGTTTTATTATTTATAGAAGAAATATAAAAAATTTTATATACAGATGAAGAAAAGAAAGAGTAATATTACAAAGAAGAAAAACCACGTGATTGCAACCTTCTATGTTTAACAAACTTGAATAAAGCTAATTTTTTGCTTAAAATACGCCGTTTAAACCATTTTTTTGAAAATTTTGCCTTAGAAGCAAGTGAAAAATCATATAGATGATAAGCCTAGTTTTATCTTAAAGCGTGTTGATATTATTTTCAAAAAGTAGTAGAAGACGCAAAGCTAAACGGACTGCTGCTTTCTTTTTTGGCAAAGAATAAACCTTGATTTCTTGAGAAGAGTTTTGGAATAATATATGCTGACGATAAGAGGCTTGATAAATCTTAACCTTATTGCTCTTAAAAAAAAGAGGCTGGATTACTTGTTTTTTTAACATGGAACTTTTATAAAGTATAGTTGATAAATTTTTTTTTTTTGGTTTATTTGGTATGAAAAGTCAGTTGAAAAATTGTTGATGAATTATATCGAGCTATTCTTTTTATTTTGAAATTATATATATATGTTATTTTAATTTTTAGTTTTATTATTATTATTATTATTATTTTTGTGTTTATTTATTATTTGTTTATTTATTATTTGTAATACTATTTACTAACTTTATGAATTTTGCAGAGCAAAATTTTTCGAAGGAGGGAGTAGTGTTATATTAGCATATTTTTCACTTTTTATTATTTTTTATTTATTATATTTTATTTTATATGATATTAGGGTTATTAGAACGTGTTGGTATTATAAAATATATTAAGGATTTTACCTTTAGCAGATCCAGAAGACCCTGATGATCAAAATGAGCTATAGTACATTATGATCAGACAGATAGATAGCCAGATAATCGATAAACAGGGTACTAGAAGATCTAATACTATTTTTATTTTGTCATATAGTTTTATTCTGTTATTATTTTTGTCTGTTATTTTATTATTTTTGGACTTTATTTTGTCATACTGGAAAATCTGATTAACAAGATAGTCAAAAGATCTAATACTATTTTTATTTTGTTATACTGTTTTTATTCTGTTATTAATGTTTCTTAATGTTTCTTTATGTTTCTTATAGTTTTTTAATGTTTTTTTATGTTTTTTATAGTTTTTTAATGTTTCTTTATGTTTCTTATAGTTTCTTATTGTTTCCTTAGGTTTCTTATAGTCTTTATTATTATTTCTTATTCTTTGATATATGTTGTAAAAGATATATAAACCTTGCTTTTTCTCCTTAGACAAAACAGGTTTTCTGGACTTTACTTTAAGGTTTTTGGGATATAAAAATATTTCTTCTTGAACTCTTCTATATTAAATAAAAATATTATACTCTTGCTTCTAAAGGTTTCTCTGGAATATACTCATTGTATTAAGTGTTTTTATTATTTTTCTTTATTTTTGTTTTTATTTTGTTCTTGTTTTGTTCTTTTGTTTTCTTTCTCTGTATATTCACATTTTTTACTCTTGACACGTTATTAAGTAGTATAGTTACTGCCCCTAAAGTGACTATACTACAGTTTGGTGATGACGCTTTAAAAATCTCTGTACTATCTGTGATTTCTTTTTTAAATTAAAATTATAAGTTAGATATATATATATATATTCTTTTTTTATATTAAATTTTTTTTTAGTTTCTTTCTTGTTCTTTCTTTTTCTTCTTTCTTGTTCTTTTCTGTTTCTTTTTGTTTTTTTTATTTTCTTTTACTTTTTATTTGTTAGTTTTTCTTTCTTGTATAATTTTGTTTGTACTAATCATCTCTTTGTTACACGTAGCACCCTTGTACTACCTCAAAAACTATTGTTGTATTTTTATATCATAATTATTGTAACAACCAGGTGATCCCAAAAATTATATTTTTGGAGTAACGTTACACGAAAACAAAATTTTCTTAAATTTGTATTTGTGTATATCTTTATCTTTTATTATAATTTTTTTATCTATAATTACTTCTTATTAATTAAATTTTGCTAATTTTAATATTTTCCTTTTAATAATTATAGTTTTTTTAGCTATTGTTATATTAGTATGTTTTTTACTTTTTTATTTTATTTTATTTTATTATATTTTATTTTATGTGATATTAGGGTTATTAGAACGTGTTAGTATTATAAAATAGGTTAAGAATTTTACCTCTAGCAGATCCAGAAGACCTTGCCGATCGAAACAACCTACAGTACATCATGATCGGCTAGATAGATAGCCAGATAATTGATAAACAGGGTACTGGAAGATCTGATTAACAAGATAGCCAACAGATCTAATACTATTTTTATTTTGTCATACAGTTATTATTTTTGTCTGTTATTTTGTCATACAGTTTTTATTCTGTTATTATTTTTGTTTGTTATTTTGTTATACAGTTTTCATTCTATTATTATTTTTGTTTCTTTTTTGTCATACAATTTTCATTCTGTTGTACTATTTTTACTTCGCACTATTTTTACTTTGTATTATTTTTACTTTGTACTATTTTTACTCTGTTGTATAGGGTTTAAAAGATATATAAATCCTGCTTTTTCTCCTTAGACAAGACAGGTTTTTCTAACTTCACTTTAAGGTTTTTGGGATATAAAAATATTTCTTTTTGGACTCTTCTATATTGAATAAAAATATTATACTCTTGCTTCTAAAAGTTTCTTTGGAATATACTTATTATATTAAGTGTTTTTATTATTATTTTTGTCTCTATTTTGTTTTTGTTTTATTCTTTTGTTTTCTTTCTGTTTATTCATATTTTTTACTTTTGGCACGTTATTAAGTAGTATAGTTACTGCCCTCAAAATGACTTTACTATAGTAGATTATAAACTATATAGTACCTGCTTATTAGTTAACATATTTGTGTTTATTTGAGATTTATTATCATATTTTCAAGATTAATATTTTTTTTTATATCGTATTATTAAAACTTTGATGAGTTATCATCGTTCTGGTCTGTAAAAATTATTACTTATAAATGTTATTAATGTAAAAGAATACCAATGTTTTTTCGAATAAAATTGGAAGCTAAAGGTTATAAAAAGAAATGAAAGGAAATGAAAATAGCAAGAACATTTGATTTGAGTAGAATAATGGTTAAAAATGGTGTTTTCGTTCTATTAAAACTTATAGTTTTATTGTTGTTATTAGATTTAATTGGCGCAAATTACTTGGACTGATTAATGCGCTACCAATCTGGCACACATTCAAGAATTGTGTGGTAGATAATATCAAGTAGTATTGCGATAACTACAGTAATATTAATTTTAAAGCAATATTATATTTAAAGAAGTCATACAAGCGTTAACAACACAAAATCTTTAATGTCTGAAATTGGTCTACAAAACTCTTCGTCATATAATAGCTAATATGTTTTTTAAAGAGATATTTTATACTCTATACTATACACATCGTAAAATCTTATAAATTTTTATTTTTATTTTTAAATTTTAGCATTTCATACCAATAAAGTTCTGCTGTATTTATATACTGTTGAATCTCCCAAAATCGAACCTCTCAAAACTGATAATTTGTCAAATCTGATAAAAAATTAATCTAGCAATTTCATTTCCATTATATAGATCTAATGGTTTATAATGTTTTCAAATCTGATAAGTTCTCAACATTGATACAAAATCTGCCACAATGCATATAGATTTGGGGAGGTTCAGCAGTATAACTATTCTGTATTGTAGTTGTCCAATATTTTCTAAGTTTATATTCATCTGTTCCTGGTTAGCGCGCAGCTACTTATTTAGTATTATTTAAAAAAATTTTTTTGCTATAAAAAAAAAAAGCCACACGCCCACGTTACTAATCACTGTCCTATGATATGAAAACCAAGTATATAATTTTGTGCGGTCTTATTGTAAAAATTGTTGCTGAAATTAAAAAATAAAAATAAATTTTATCTCTATCTATAAACATAATTAAAAAAATAAATAAATAAAAATAAATTATTGTGTTTTTCGAAATAGTTAAAAATATGAAAAATTATTATTTTTTGAGTATAACCATATACTGTATACTGGATTATTTTAGCACTTTGATTAAAGATTGATACTTGGTTTATTTATTGTTTCAAATAATAAATGTATATGTATATAATTAAACATTGAACTTAAATCAATATGCTAAGATAATCTGGTATATAGTATATAGGTATACTTGAAAAAAATATTTTTTTCTATTTTTAACTATTTCATAAAATGTAATAAAAAGAAAATTAACAAAAAATATTTAAAAAAGTTTAAAAAACTAACAGAAAAGAGCTTATATAGAGTTCTTCTCTCTCTTCCTCTCTCTAGAACAATTACAAGTTCTAAAGTAATTATGTATATTTTTATATACCCCTTGTATAATTATGCAGGTTTATGCATAAATATGTATATTTATACACAAACCTGTATAATTTTGCAAAAGTGTATAAAGTATGCATGATTACTTTAGAACTTGTAATTGTTCTAGAGAGAAAGAAGGGAAGAGAAGAGATAAGTATCTTATATGAGCTCTTTTTTGTCAGCTCCTTTATTATAAATAATTTAAAAAATACAATAATAATAATAATAATAATAGTGTTTATACATAGATACTAATTTATTAATTTACAAATTTGTGTAATATGCTAATTAAAACAATTTTTACAAACTCTTACTTATAGTTAAGGTAAAGATGAGTTTGAAATTAAAATAAGAATAGTTTATACCAAAATCTCATAAGAAATTTTTTTTGTTAAAAGTCAAAAAGTAGTTTTATAATCAAAATTTTGAAATATTAGTAGTTTATTATACTTGTATATATATATTCTATGTGTGATGTGTTAAGATAGGTGTCAGGCCAAATATGTTAAGACCAGAAGGTTTAAATAAGTACCCTCATAGTTGGGGTACAGGTATGGCAGATAGTGTAGAACCCTTAGCATAGCATAACTGCTTTGGGCAGACTACTTAAATTAGGCATCTGTGTGGCTTAATATACCTTCGTCAAAATGTATAGTGTCTGAACTCAACTTAATAAAAATCACTAACCAAGAAGGTCTCCTTTAATTAAAATATATATATATATATATTCTATGTATAAGATGTGGTATTTTAGTAAAGTAGTCTAGTTGTTACTCTTTCTAAATAGTAAAGATATAGGTCTTATGTGCAAATTCTAGAGATGATGTTTTTGAAAAAAATGAAATATGTTAGTCGATAATTTTTACTAAGGTTGGCCTATAGACAACCTAGTGACTTGGGTGTTGGAAGCACTAGCAAAGTAATTCTGAGTGGCTATAATCTGTACTACAAAACCAGAAATTGAAACCTGTTTGGGAAGTCCTAAGTAGGATGTAGTAGTGATCTTTGACAGTACTACAGAAAGGCTGAATTTGAACCAGAGTCTGAGATCAAAGAACCAAGCAACTAAGTTCTTTAGTAGAAGGACACACTAGCCAAACTGTCAGTTTAGATACACTAGAGAAAAAGACCATATGCTTCAAAAGTACAAACCAAGAGAAGGGTGACTATGAGGCACTTAAAGTCTAAGCAGACTAACCTTTCCGAGTTGTTAGCTAGAAGTAAAGAAAAGACCAATAAAAAATTCAGATAAGAAAATGGCTAAAATGTAGTACTGGAATTATTGTGAACCTTACAAAAGTAGAAGTATATAATAGACAACTAACTAAAAAGGTTGTAGCTTGAGACATGAATTAGGTTATAGTAGCACTTCAAAAGTTGGCTTGAAATACAAACTCGGTGATGGCAGTACAACAGGTACTAGTTAAGAAGAAGTTATTGAATATACAAATAAAAACATGTGTGGAATATGAACTACTCTGTTAGATTTATCTCATAGATAGACTAGCTCCAATGGGGTTAGTAAGTTCTAAGATAGGATACAAAATCTATAAGATATTGCAATAGCTAACTATCAAATAGTGAATTACACCTTGGTTAGGTAGAGTAATCGATAGTTGTAACTAAAGAGTTTAAATAGGTATTCCTTATAGTTGGAGTGCAGGTACAGCAGATAGTATAGAACCTTTAAGTAGACTACTTAAATTAGGTACCAAAAGTATATATGTAGCTAGATATACCTTCATTATAATTGTATAATATTACTTCTACTTAATAAAATGTTCTCTTGGCCAAAGAAGTTACTTTAGAAGGTTTCTAGAAATTACATAATTTTTATTTATTATAAAATTTTCTAATATATTATACATCTACTTAC